GCCTGCGGCTGGCAGGAGGCCGGGTCTCTTGGGGTCCAGCCCGGGGGGAGGGGGTCCAGGCTGTGCAGCCGCGGCACGGCCGGCAGCAGTGCGGGGTAACGAGCTAGTGCAGCCGCTTTGCGGGAAAAGCTGGCAGGTGACACGGGAACGACTTGTGTGTCCTGGGGTATCCACGTCTTCGGTGCTGTGCTAGAAAAGGAAGGGGAAGATGATGGAGAGGAGAGGAGGCGGATGTTCAGGAGAGAACAAGGGAGAAGTAGTTTTGCCTCTGTTCTTAAGCTCCAGGTTATAACTACTGTGGATGAAACTGTCAGCCCTTTAGGATAGCGATATGTCAGTGAATCCTCTGTCTTTTCAGTTTTATACTACAAATGAGTCGGGCTGCAGCTCTTTTTAATGTTTCCCCCTACATCAAAGCATTTGGCAAGATGCTGACCACTTAAGGAATTGCGTGGCCTACTCTCTTTTAGTTATGCGGGTTTTTGTGAAATGCTGCTGTGTTTAGTTTTTAATTATGTATGTCTACATAATTATTAATTTCTGTTTAAAAATATAAGAAACTAATTTTAAAAAGTCATTAGGTACTAGTAGAACATGTTATTCTGAGGAATTCAAACCTTTGAAAAGTGGAGAATACAGCATTTTGGTTTGTGTTAGTGTAGCTTACCTTCCCAGAGCTGGCTAGTAGGAGTTACCACCAGGCATCCTTATTACATTCTTCTGGGTTAGGCTGGAGGAATGAACTGAAGCAGGTTTTGGTATAAACTCATCTGATGCATATTCACTACTGCTTCCCCACCGTCTTGTGTGTATGATCAAAGGAAGAGATCCAATCTGACTCCTTTTAGCAGTCATTGTGGTTCCTTGGCAGGAGTAAATAGAGGGAGACGTGGCTTTGTGTTTAAAAGGAAGCTGCTGAAACTACAGTGCTAAGAGAAATTCTGTTTGCTTGACTGAAGGGAGCGTAGGTGTTAACTTTGTCCTCGTCGCGTCAGAACGCAACTTAATTTTTGTGTCTCTTCTCTCTCAAAGAGAGAGTTCAGCAGAACTTGGCTGTCATGAAGGGACAAGTGATTTCTCAGGGCAACCTTCTTACTACCTTAAGAAGTGTTATTTTGATATTTCACTTTGTATTTAAAAAGGCAGGCTTCTAAAAGTATTTATAACTGTCTTAAATAATTTTTTTTTTTTAATAGTGGTTTTTTCCATCTATTTCACTAGCAGTGCAAAACCTGGAAACCCATTGTCTAAATGCCAATTGTAAAGATCAGGGAAATGGGAAGAAGAGATACTGCAAAACCTGTAACTAACGTTGTTGGTGTGCGTAGGATGGAGAAAATGCCTCTGCTGAGGAAAATGCAGAAGACGTAGATGGTCCATCTTCATCTGGAAAAGGATCTGGGAAATCCCAAAGTCAGGAAGAAACAGATGGTAAATGTTAACATGATAACTTTAATGCAAAATACTTGTAAAAGATCATTGAAAGCACCTGCTCTTTGATACCTGACTCTGCATAAATACCTGGCTGCTGTTTTGAACTTATGGGTTATTGAAGCACCTTACTAGAACGTCCATCTTTGTAGAACGTTCCGGTTCATATCCAGGCTTTAATTTTGTTCAGTGCTTTTAAAGGACTAGGTTTAGACAGTCGTAGTCATCTTTTTCTAGGAAACTCTTCGTTTGTTTCCCTCCTGACACCTTAGCCATGTGGTCTCTGTTCTTGGCCATCTCTAAAGTTACAAATACGTTTTAAGGTTTTAAAGTTGTCTCAGAAAGTCTTCTAGCAGTGTTTTGTTTTGTTTTTTGCTCTTCTTCTGTTTACTGGTCTTCCTGACTGAGATTTCAGGATTTTCAGAATATTTGATTCTACTATATGAGCGTTGCCTTCTTCTCCTGTCATCTAAAGTGAAAGAAAATACATATAATCAGCTGCCTGCTGCCCTCACCTTTCCTTTGACCTGTTTAGAGGGTTTAGGGTAATTCCTCTCCTTTCTCTCCCTGGCTGGTTTTCTTTATGCAGTTCTTGCGGTGGTAATATCTCCTTCAAATCCCTTGCCAGAATAACCTTAAGTTCTTTTCTGTACTTGCAGAAAGTGGTAAGAAAAGCACTTCTTTGTTTATCTATTTTTTACTAGGGTTTCTTGATCCCACGCCTCAGGTTCTGCAGTTGAGCTTGGAACTTAGAGCACTACAGCCTGTTTCAAACATCTTTTTAAAAGCTGTGCACTGGTCAGGGCATATTCTCATGGGATTGCCAATACTGAGAAACAGCAAAGTGCAATTTTGGATCTCTTAGTGTTGGTTCTTGGACTCCTCTTGCTAATTTTACTGCAGGTTCTCATCTTTCTTTTAAATATCAAAAAACCCCCCAAAACTTGAATTGCCTCGCATAAAATGTGTCTCACTGGTACCTCTGTTCCGAAAGTGTGGCCAGACCTCATCCTAGAAACACAGAAAATGAACACTAGCAATCTTGTTGAAGCTAGATCTCTGTGGTTCCATACTGACCCCTTCTTTTTGCTAATACCTCTGAAATACTTCCTGTCTTCTGCTCTGTATTCCAGCTGTTCCATTATACCTTTTTTCATGCACGCAATCTTTATCTAAGAAAAAACCCCCCATATCCTAATACACTTGTGCAATAGCGTTATTTCTGAACTAATTACAGAGAGCACAAAAACGTCAAGAGGAGCCTGTAGAACCAAGGAAGCTTGGATTAGGTTTATTGTTATTTAAAGAGTTACCATTAGAACCAGACTTTTGTTTTTTCCTGTAGATACTTAATGCCTAAGCCAGAATGAAAACAACCAAATACATTCTGAAGGCTTTCAAACGCATAAACTGATGTAGTAGCGAAACCCTCTGGTTCAGGCATATGCTGCCGTAAACAATACCTGATAGACAGATCTGCTTCTCAGCCCAAACTTTATGTTGTGGGTCCACCTCTATCAAAACTTCAGATGCCCAGTCCCCCAACTGAAACCTTTCAACGCTGCGTACTTTGATGTCTAGCAGATGAAGCAGTACCTTTTGAAAATGATGACTTTTAGTCCTTTTTGCCTGAAAGTACACTTGCGGACAGTTATAACTCTGGCTTAAGTCATGTAATGAAAAGTTGTAAATAAAAAAGTTGAAATTGTTAAAATTTTTAATGTTTTAAGCATATTTACTTTGAGCAGATAGCGTCATATTCTTAAATATTTATTAACACGAAATTGTTACTTTTTTCTGGAGAAATGTTAATAATGTGGATTTTGCGTTTACGGGAGTTAAAAGGTACTCATTGTCTTGGATAGAGTGGTTACAAGATCTCGTTTTAAATTACTTCTAAAAATTGGTTGCTGCTTTATTGTTCAGTATAATTATCTGCTCACTTAGCCTCTTCAGCTGAAAAGCTTTATTCCAGCCAGCCAGCTAGCTTGGTGGCTGAAAATTGCTTGATACACTTCTTGTATGGATTGAGGGAAAGATGTTGAATAAACTGTTGCTTCATTCAATGTGTTCCTCCAAGCTCTCATTTCAAATATCCAGAAAATGCTAGAATCTGGGAGATACTAAGTATTGGTGATGAATAGCACAGAGTTTTAAAGCCAGAGAGATTGTTAAAAGCTCTTCTGCATTTCTGCAGGCCTTTTTCTTAAAG